TTCTTTATCCATTCATCTGTTGATGGACATCTTGGCTCTTTCCACAGTTTGGCTATTGTGGACATTGCTGCTATAAACATCGGGGTGCACGTACCTCTTCGGATCCCTACATTTGTATCTTTGTGATACCTGAACTTTTTACCAGAAATATCCAAACAGCTCGGCCAGAAGTGGGTTGATTCATTTTCACCTTTCTCTTTGCTTCTGTAGACACAGGTTATTTTCATACATGGTCAAGCAAACCACAACACAGCACAAGTTCAGCTGTTTTAATTATCCACTGGGCTTTCTACACAGTGGATTCAGCGGTAAGATGTCCAGATAGATCAAGTAGACAGGCTTCAGCAAAGTGCAGACTATTTTTTCTGAGCATTTTCCTGGTTAGTTTAGTTGTGCAGTTATAGGTGAAGCTGCAGTCTCATGGATCTTTAACAAAGAGTTGGTCCACTGCTTTTTATATTTGAAAAATGGCATTTGTGTATTTAACTATATAATAAACACCAGTAATTGGGTGAACTCATTTATCCCAGGGCAGACCAGAAAGAAATAAAGTAAATTGTACCTGGAGGGATTTGGAAAACTCTTCAGGATAAATGCACCATATTTTCAGGTCATTCACACTGGAATGTAAGAAAGGAAGCTATATAGGCAGGACCAGGAAGGCAGTATAACTGGTAGGAATGAGGACTCTGCAGTCCCCTTAGTTTCAAGTGATTCAAAATAGCATCCAGAATATTCTGGAACTTTCTGAAATCATTTTGGAGTCTGTGAAATTGAAAACAGATAGGAAGTGTCTGGGCTCCAAAGGTACCCATGAAGTGACACTTGACAAACAGTGTACCTGTGGTAAGGATGATTGCTTGGTCTGAGCTAGCCTAGGAAAAATTATAAAGTAGGTCAGTTCTGTGCCACCTTTCTCCCCCCCAGCCCCCCACCCCCTGCACTTTGTAGACTTGCTCTTTTGTCAGATTCATCACCTTTCCTATGTCCAGTTCTGTTCTTAGCTCATAAAGTGTTAGTTGATAAGAACTTAGAGTGAGTTCCTGTGAAGGGATTTCAACCTGACAATTTTTAAATATTGAGGTGTTTCTGAAGGTGGCTAAATTTTAAAGACTGAAAAGAGTGAATATATTCAGATAATATGACAGGAAGTGGGTTGATCTTCTTTGGACAAGTTACCCTTGAAATCAAAAAGGTTCTAATCCAATTGTACACAGATTGCTAAACATCACTTATTAATTAGACTGTCTATATCACCAGGTAAGTTCGCATAAAGGCCTTTACAAGGCAGTTTTTCTATAGCTTTATGTTTATTCCTGTCAACTCCGTTCAAATTGACCAGAGTTGGGATAGTCCTAACCAAAAGTCACTGCTGATTTTACTTTTGAAAGTAAGGACATAATCCTCTTGGATGCATTACCAATACAGGCTGCAGAATCTCCTACTCTGGAGCCTCTCGTTGCCTAGGTAGCATAGATATAATCTTGCAAAGATTGATGTATATTTGTATGTTTCCTATTCTATCATCAGACTATAAACTATTTAGCAGGACCCAGTGTTATAGTTGGGTTTCTTGTAACAGCTAACACTATGCTTGGCAAATAGTAAACATGTGGTAAAATTTGTTTAAATGAAATATTTTATCAATCATTCAAACAGGAGTCATCGGGGAATGAACAAAATATTGAGACAGAGAGATGGAATCGAAGAATTCTTCGGATGTTAAATAGTTTGCAGGTAAGATGGTAGGGTTTGTCAATCCTATTTTTGTTTTTAAAAATAAAATGTTGATGTCAGTCTTCTAGATATTAATAAAAATGAATTCGTCTTCATTATTTTTTTGTTGAGACCAAATTCCCCTAGAATGAAATGATTTTGAGCAGTATACCCAGGGCTAGCTGTGGGAGTTTGCTTTTAGTGCCTGCATATTCTAACCAATTTCTTACCTATACTCACGCTCCTAAGACATCTAGTGTATGTCCCATTCTTGTGTTTAGCAAGCTATCAGCTATTTCTCTATATGAAACTAAGTTTATAACAGTTTAAAACAGATCATTTTAAAATTTAACTTATATTTTGGGGCACCTGGGTGGCTAAGGCTAAGAAGGAAACAGAAGTTTTTTGTCCTACCTTCCTTATTTCCTAAGTCCTGCTCACCAGAGGCAACTATATTAAGCTGTTTCATTTAGTATTTATATCTATATTTCTAATTACATATTCTTACTGTTCTTTCTTGATATTTCAGCTTTAAATTTTATCTGTTGACTTCTTTCAATGTAAAATGAAAATTTAGCGTAGTTATAGCTTTCTCACCGCAGTCTGTTTTTAGCACAGTATTCAGTGTTTACAGTGTTATAATTGTAATAGTTATCATGTAGGTTTGATTTTGACAAAGAGCCAAAATATCAGTGGTTTAAAAAGATAAAGTATAATCTGGTATAGCCGCTATGCTCACAAAGTTGTCAGAGACCCAGGTTACCTTTATCTCATTTTCTTTATTCTCAGAATCAAAAATGGCTAAGTACCCACCATGTCTGCATTCCGTTCAGCAGCAAAATTTCCTTTAAGGGTACAACAAGAAATCGTGTGTATCACTTTTCACATTTCATTGCCCAGCACTTGGTCACCTTGCCACATCTATCTGGGAAATGTAGTCCTTATCTGGCAACCTTGGGCCCAGCTAATTATTCTATTGCTATGAAAGAAGACAAGAATGGATGTTAAGGGACAATCAGCAGTCACTGCTACAAAGACTATGTAAAAATTTGTGTAATTACATTTCTTTTCTTGTCAACTTTATAGTGCTTTTTTTGGAGTTAATCATTGCCTCATTTTTCCCATTTGCTTAGTGTCTATATACTCATCCTTAATTCTTTTCTCAAACTCTCTGACAATATAATGAAACCCCTTTTAATATGCTCAAATGCGTCAATTGATTCATCAGTTCCAGTATGTTTTCTTGAAGATATTCCTTCCAGAGCTTATCATCCTCTTGTTCTAATTGGACTAGCTACTCTCTAGGTCTTTTCCCCAGTTTTTATCTTGCGACATTCCTTAATCATAATATGGGAATTCCTTTGTCTCTTTCCTATATTAGTTTCTCTATTTCTCAATGCTTTGATCTTCTTTTACCTTGAATTTTTTGGTGGTTAGCATCCTTTCGTAATTTCCTGAGATAAAGAGTGCATAGGAGATAGACACCCTATGTACAAGTCTGAAAATTTATTTTTTTTACCTTTAACTTGATTTGGTGTCTCTAAATATAGTTTGAAAATAATACCTTTCAGATGTTGAAGACTTTGAACATATCTAGGCTTCTTTTATTTTCTCTCTGGAAATGTTTAGGTCTTTTCTTTACTCCTAGTGGTCTGAAATTTCATGATGATGTGTTTTGATATGGGTCTTTTTTCATTTATTGTGCTGAGCAGGTAATGGGTTCTTTATTCTGAAAGTTCATGTCCTTGAATTCTAGGAAATTTTATTGTATTTCTTAGATTTCCTCCGTGTTATTAATCTGTTCTATCTTTCTGGATTGCCTACAGGTCAGATGTTGGATCCCCTGAGTTACACCTTTAATTTTTTTAAAAAATCTTTTATCCCTTATATTAATTCCCCTTGTCTTTTTATTTTTTTCTACCCTCTAGAAAATGTCTTCAACTTTATCTTCCAGTTTTTATTGAATTTTATTTCTACTTTCACTTTTTTTGTTTTCCAGGAGTTTTTTTCTTAGTTATTAATTATTCTTTTGTTTTGTAGCATCCTAACCTTTTCATTTATTTATTTAGTTTTTTAACAGCTTTATTGAGGTATTATTAACATACAATAAACCATACCTATTTAAAGTATACAGTAGATAAGTTTTGACATTATGTATATATCTGTGAAACCATCACCACAATCAAGATAGTGAACATACATATCTACAACCCCAAAAAGTTTCCTGTGCCTCTTTTTTTTTTT